AAAACCCTACAAGGTGAGCATGACACAGTTAACTTGGCTCATTTCACATCAATTGTCAGACAACTTCCACAAAGCTATGGTTTTCAATTTTATTTTAAACATTTTACGTGAAATGAAATTTTATCATAATCATTACAGAGCATTAGCACAATAATATACACAAAAAACTTTTAAAATTAAAAAAGAATACAAGTGCCACTTTACTATGTAAACAAAAATAAAATAAAACCCTGATGCTAAACAGGTACATACATATTTAGAGGTAAAATACACATACAAAAACATTGAAACATTAACATATTCCACAACTAGATCACATTCTTTGCAAGAGAGTACAAATATTAGTACTCTGCATCTACAAAATTTCAGAATCCTGTTAAAAGCAAAACCATTGCTGGTTAATTATACGGCACAATTCATAAGGCAAAAATATAGGCATTATCATCCAGATCTTTAATTTCACTTGTATTTTAAGGCAAACTTGGAACTTTTTGCTTAGTATTTTGAAATAAATGGGACTTACACATAACTTGGACAAAATTAACAATAAATTACCCCTACTTAAGTATGCATAATATAAAAGACAAGATGGATAACAATTTTTCTCTCTGCAGAGATGTAAACTGGATTTTTGACTCCATATTTACACCAGTAAGAAAATTTGTAAACCTATTGTATTTAAAACGTATTATATTCCTACTCTTTTCAAATGTTTATCAGTACTGAATCCATGTACTATAAGTGAAAATCCAACACATACCAGCCACAGCATAACTGTTACCTAAGGAAATCGTGTCTAATTAAAGTGCTGTTTACAAAGGGAAAAAAAGGTGAAGAAGTAGAACTGGATGTTAACTTGACATGTGACATCTTAAAATTTCTTAGCTTTCAGACGAGAGAGGTTAAGAGGTTATCACAAGTTTATTGAAGTTTAAGCAGTAAGTTTATTGTAGAATCAGATTTTCCTGAAAATGAGCACTTAGGTGACAATACCAGGAATCCACCATCAAAACTGAAAATAAACAGCATTATATGTACAGCTATTTCCCTCAATGTCAGCCAGAGCCTTGATACTACAGGAAATAGGTTTTAAATTTCTTTGCTATATGTTTTTCTATTAGAAAATACATTGTCCAGTTCCAGGAAATTTGGAGTTCTACACACATTAGGGTTTCTGTACTTCCTTTTCATGTCAATAAAACCTAATTGGCTACTAAAGAACTATTTATACATAAACTAGGTTTCTAATCACTTCTTATGATGCTGAAGATAAGGAATTAGGTTCCTATTTTATCTTAATTGCTATTAGGTTACAGATCTCTCCCACTGTGATTTACTCTCTTTGAGGGAGAGTATGCCTTAGCTGTCTAGCTCCCACAGTCTGTAACAGAATGTCTTAGACATATAGTAGACCCTCCATATGTATAAACTTTCAAAACGTAATGCTATTTTCCTATCATTTGATACCACTTCCTATCATTTATTATTTACTCATATTTAAAACAGCATTTTAATATACGGAATTTGTCAATATCCTCAGGGCTACATTAAAAATCACTAAGCTTGGCTTGGCGCCTGTGACTCAAGTGGCTAAGGCGCCAGCCACATACACCTGAGCTGGCGGGTTCGAATCTAGCCTGGGCTGGCCAAACAACAATGATGGCTGCAACCAAAAAATAGCCAGGCATTGCGGTGGCAGCCTGTAGTTCCAGCTACTTGGGAGGTGGAGGCAGGAGAATCACTTGAGCCCAGGAGCTGGAGGTTGCTGTGAGCTGTGATGCCACAGCATTGCACCCAGGGGGACAGCTTGAGGCTCTGTCTCAAAAAACCCCCCCCAAAATCACTAAGCTGGCTGGGTGCAGTGGCTCATACCAGTAATCCTAACACTCTGGGAGGCCAAGGCAAGTGCATTGCTTGAGCTCATAGGTTC